TCAAAATATGCCTAAACTATTCATGTAAGCACTAAACACAACAATCAGTACTTACCGACATTGTAGAATGTATAATCCAAGAGTAGATTAGTAAGGGTGGAGGGAAAAATGCGTGTGTGGGCGGAGCCAAGGCCCCAGTGTTTATATTTTGATCTCTCAACCAATGGGAAGGCGGCAGAAGCGAACTGTACTTAGCTGAAGAGACTCAGGGAAGGCTTGTGATTGGTTGGAACTAAAGAACGGGAAGCTGGCCGAGCGGGGCACGGAGTATGACACGCCCCCAAAACACGTAATTAATACCGAATTTTTCCGGCCAAACACGATAAAGGGTTAACCCCAACTCTGCTAGGGTGAGATTGACATATGCAGAATGGGTGTCATCTCTGGGAGGATCAAACTCTGTTTCACTGGCTAACTCGTGCCGTATTTGAGGCAAATCTAAATTGGTAGTTACAAATGAAGCTTGAGGATTTCTCAATACCTGTTGTGTACGTAGGGAATAACGACATTCAGGTTGATCGTCTGACTGAGTATCAGAGGTAGAGAGTACAGGATCAGGAGGATTGTCAGTCTGTCACATTAGTCTGGGTTGGAACATCATTATCATCACATACTAACTTCATATGATCTAAATGCGATTCTTTATACTGAAAAGTACTAATTTCTCTAACCTTATACTTATTACCAGTGATATGTTCAACTACTCGATAAGGACCAACAATTTTGATCAAGCTTAAGCATTGCAGATGTTTTGTTAAGTTAGTCAGCATAACTCTCGACCGTACTTCGATTTTGGACGGCTTTGCTCGAGTGTTTGCGAATCTTGTAAATTCTGCTGTTGATTTATGAAGTGTTTCACGGATTCTTCTAAAGACGCTTTGAGCTAAGCTGGTACGGGTTGCTATGAAATCATCAGGGTTGTAATTTGGTTTTGGATTAGAATAAAGCAACTCGTAAGGCAAACGTTTATCTATACCATCTCACACACGCAAATGTTTTTAAATGTAGGAAAATGTCTTTAAACAGAAAATTATCGCTGAAGTCTGGAGTGGTAGACGGGCGGTGACGGGTGATGAGGTGAAGACGTGGTCCTGTGCGGGTGATGATTCCTCCTACACTCACACTGTTGTCGTGAAGAAATGCGCTTTATAGCTGAACTCACATAACTGGCTTTATCGTTGGCACACAGCTACAATCTCTTGACCAATTATGTGAGCCAAAACAGTACTAGGACCCGGTACAAGGGTGGAAAAACCCACAGGTAGATGAGGTGGGGAGTGGGTGGCGGGTGGGTGTGGCAACCCGGCCCACTGGCGCCCACTGCCACTCACAACACACACCCAGGTGGCTTAACTAAGCCACAATATGCCACAGGGATGGTGAAGACCACTCTTACCAGCATCCAACTGGGAGGACAAAATGATATAGGAGACAGTACTTCAGAGGAACTTGCGTGGCTTACTTCTCTCTCTCAGCTGGGTTGACTAACTGGCTTAACCCACGAGAATGGCTGACTGGAAGACGTGTAGTGATGCACACAGCATGAAGGAGCAGGTGGATGACAGGAGACAGGCTGGATGATAGGCTGAGGCAGGCTGACTGGCATTCACTTCCACAGTCTGGCTTACTGGCTGGCTTAATTGCAAAATCCGGGTCAACCCCTCGGAGGTTGAAGCAACTAGCACACGAACTAAGCCAGGAAGCTTGAAAAGAGGCTGCAACAGGCTTGCAGGCTGGAGTACACAGGGTGGAGGTGAGCGTGAGGGTAAGCTGCTAGCTGGAGGTGGCAGAGACGGTTCACCTCTGACCTGCCGAAACCCCACAAACAATCTTCTAACGTTGGAAATACCCGTAGATCCACTCCCACACCGCTGTCACCAAATTGTCATGTGGGTTCAATAACGTGGATGGGGTAAAAACACTCAGGTAGGCTGGTTAGTACGTATAATAGAAAGTATGGGAAGCACCATCAGCTGCCCTGCCTCTCTCTGCTCTCTATCTCAGACTGACCCACCAGTGCCTAGAGGGTGCGGTGTTCAAAAATATGCTATGGTCAGCAGCAACGTGAATAACAGTCAGTGATTCACACAGACGGTCGGTAGCGAGTCATCTACTGGTAAGTGGTAACTGGTACTACTGCACTAATGGGTAATATAAACCCATGTGAAACTAGAGTCAATCATTACTAGTACCGTGAGTGCTTTTTCATCACAAGTTTTGATGTGGCTCCCATCTAGTCTCCGATTAAATGGTGGTATGAACGCCCAGGTTGGCTTTGAGAAAATTAAAAATGATGCTCGATCTTTTATGTACAATGTGTCTTATACAGACAAGTCCTCAACTTACGAGATGCAGTCCTAGTGTTAAACCACTGACAAAGAGACTGCCTAATTCCTTCCTGAAAAAGAAAGAAAATTCCTTCTACAAAGCACCTTCATGTATAAATTCTACAAATTTATACAGGTACATGAATGTTATCTGTATTATTATTACAATAAAAAAGCACTAAACCACAGGGGCTATACAGCGCTGCAGGGCAGGGAAGGATGCGAGGGTATCGGGTAGCAAAAGGGACAGAGATGATTAGTAGGTTACGGAGAACAGTAGATAATGCAGGGGTAGAGGGTAGAAAGAGAATGAGGTAGAAAGGGCTGAGGGAAGTGCTAAAGGTTTCATCAGAGTTTGTGGAGTAAATCATCTGTTATCAAAAAGTCAGAGAGAGTGGATTATAGGAGGGTCCATCAGCAAGAAGGGAAAGTAAAGAGAGAGCAGCAGAGAGATGATGTTGGAGGTAAATTCTGCGTGCTCGTTGATAGAGTGGGCAGTCTAACAGAATGTGGCTAACCAATACTGGAGTGTGGCCAATGCGTAGACGGGAGAGAGCAGTCCCCCAATCATGACACTTATCACAAGAAGATGGCCAGTAACATATACTCTGTTTAATAGAATGAAGCTCGTTATTGAGCACATCAGACCAACGTTGTTGCAAACGGGTATGAAGGTGGATAGCAATTACAGGAAAATAGTCTGTGAGTGGAACACCTCTATATGAAACTGGAAGGTCATGTACTGCTGATCGCTCAGCAGCGTCTGCCTGTTCAGTGCCCTGTACGTCAACATGACCAGGGACCCAACAAAAAACAATATCTTTATGCTTGGTAGAGATGTGGTGTAACCAATATTAGATACGGAGAACTAGGGGAGTCTGAAACGACCACAAATGATTACACAGGCATGGGTGCAACACGGATAAGTGCTGCAAGAATGGGATACAATTAAGCAGTAAAAATGCAAGCCAAGGATAGTAAATGCCCTTGCACAACACTGGAAACACTGCTGTGAATCCAATGCTGTCAGAAGACTTAGAGACATCTGTGTACTCTGCGATGGCGTGAGAATGAGAGCAGAAGTGGTCAAGAAAGAGAGTGGGAAGCTACCGTAGGCAGTTGGGCTTTTGCGCAAGGGGGTGAGTAAGAACAGACAAACAGCTGGAACTTCCCAGGGGGGGCAGGGAAAAGCAAGATGCTACATGAACATAGAAAGGTGGTAAATGAAGGAAAGAAGAGCGAATGTAGGCGTAGAGAAAAGGGGCGGAGCAAACAGGGGCGACGAACAAAGAATATCTACTAACATCAGTGACTATTCTATACATGGAAGGATTGCGGAGATCACGAGTGTGAACATAGTAGCGAAGGCTATGGGCATCGTGGTGATAAGACAAGGATGGAACATTTGCTTCCACATAGAGAGACTCAACAGTTGAAGAGTGAAAAACACCAAGGCATAAACGTAATCCTTGGTGATGGATGGGATTAAGTCTAGAGAGAGTAGCAGGAGAGGCCGCCGATAGATCTGGCCATCATAATAGTTTCGGTAAAATGAGGGCTGAACGTAGGCGAACGAGAGTTCAACAATCAGCTTCCATTGAAAGATGAGAGAGGGTTTTAAGAAGGTTCAGCCAGCTGTGACAAGTTGCCTTCAGAGAGGTAATGCGAGGTTTCCAGGATAACCTACAGTCAAACAGAAGGCCTAGAAATCTGACCGTATCACATTCAGGGATACATGAGCCACAGAGGTACAATGGATGATCAGAAATGACAGAACATCTAGTGAAAGTAAGTTGGCGAGTTTTAGTACTGGGAAATTTAAACCCATGCGTGGTGGCCCAATTGGAAACGTCGTTGACCACATGCTGGAGAGAAACTGCAATGAGGTGACAGTCAGCGTCTGCAGAAGCTATAGCGAAGTCATCAACATAGTGACGACCAAATATTGGATGGAAGAAGAGAGGACAAATCATTTATAGCAAGGAGAAAGTGTTGTGCTCCAAACACATTCCTGGGGGATACCTTCAGCTTGGACAAAATCCGGGGAGAGCATATTAACCAGAACACAGAAATGTCTGTCAGTTAAGAAGTTCTTAACAAAGGATGGTAGATTGCCTCGGAGGCTTAAGGGGGAAAATGACCCTCACTGTACGACTTTTGTTCCCTTCATGCAATTTAACTGAAATTTTTACCATAGACTCTAGGCATGCCATAGTTTATGCAGTATAAGTTGCATCAAGATCGCCCAATAAATAATGACAAAAAATAAATATTAGCATTTGGACATGGGAACATTTATAGCACCGTTATGTAGAAGTGGCAATGTCGAAGTTGTTTTTGATACCCTACAATGATAAAGCAATGCCATATTGATATTCTGGTGGTTTCTTTTATGTATTATTACACTTATTAGTGACAAAAAAAATAATTGTCTTGACTTATTTTACACCATTCTTGCATTTCATACCCATGGTGTGCCAAAATGGAAGGGATGATTACCCAAATTGAATCATTCGTTTTTGGAACAATGTCCCCTGAATAAGCAGTGTGAAAATAATGAAGATCGGTTCATAAATAACCGAGATACTCTTAGATGTATGAAAATAATGCACTTCTGAGATAAATGAAGAAATATATTGAGGCTTACTATATGGTGGGTAAAAGTACTCATGGTGCCTTCTTATGTTTATTGATAGTAGAAACAAGTGTATAGAGTATATCCCTGAAGTACCATGCAGATCCCTGCATCCTGAAGTTCCCTGGAGATCTGCCAATCACAATGCTCCATGCATGCCAACCTGAAAAGAAGGAAATACATTCTAAAAATCGTATTGCCAGTGATTATATACACAGATACATATAATTACAAGTATGTCATATTTATACACATACAAATATACAAGAAAATCACATGAATTACATACCTTTGAGTAGGTGTTGGTAAGGACATGAATAATCATCTAATGTCCTCCAGGTTCATAGGAAGTATCCATCGTCAGTCTCCTCTTCTTGGATTTTGGGGGCTTTTTTCTCTGCATCCTCTTGTCCATAGCTTGAAACTTCCTTTGGGTAAGCAATGAACGCCCAAAGCCAAGTGGTATATCGATACAACTTCTCTCGTATCCAGCATTATACTCGGCTATGGCTTGACTGGCTGAGAAATCAGCCTGCCACTCTTTTTCGATTCAGTGTCTTGTTGCAGTAGGATCAAATTCGGTGATGGAGACTTTCATTAGGATTCTGTGTCCTGCTTTTCAGAAATTTTCATCATATCTGCAGTTAGTTGTTTGTAAATATCATGAACCTCCTTGAAGTATGCAAATTCTAACTGGAAGTGCACTTTCATGGTGGTGTGAGATGGTGGTGTCATGTTAGCTGCTACTGCCTTCTGGTAAAAGCACCATGAATCAGGACCAGTTGGGCAAAGATGATGATGTGGATTTGTATCACTGGATGAGCAATGGAAAAAGCTTGCATGGATGCCATTCCTCATCCTTAGAACATCAGTGTCGACATGGTCTCGCAGGTTCTTCTGAAAATAACTTGCCAGTTTGTCGATGATAAAATCTGTTAGCATGCCCTTCTTCAAATCAAACTGCTTTCTTTTCTTTCCTGTTTTCAATTCTTTTTCAGTGTAGTGGGACTTCACTAAATTGGTTAGTCTGTTCTTTAGTCGTTTAGAGTAATGATTTATACATTCCTCTTTTACAACCTGTACACCTTGATAGGGACCTGCACCATTATTGAGTTCAACAAGTCCTTTGTAGGTACTGCTGTCACCATCACACACAACAGTTTTGTACCTCAATTTATTTTCTAGTGATCTCTGCCATATCACTATTGCTGCTTCCACTTCCATCCTTCCAGAAGAACCTGTGAAGTTCTTGCAGCATACACTTTTATGGTTTTCAGTCAATTGTTCATATTGTTCTTCAGAAATTTTCTTGCTTTTCAAATGATACTCGAGGAACATACACAAGAAACAGAACTTACACATTATTTGATAATCAATCAAGTTTTGTAACAGCATCAATTGTAACACCAATGCCACGATTTGAATGATGGCCCCTTTTATGCCATGTTCCATCATATGTGACATCAATATCAAGTACTCCACTTTGGTCTGGCACAATGTCTAGTTTACCATATTCCCTAACAATCACCTCTCTTGATTCTGCCATGATCTGCTTGCACGATTGAATGGATGCATCAGTAATGAGTGCCGTATATTTATTAAATGTTTTAAAAGTCAAGGAAGGCAAATTACACACTGCAGTTCTACGGCTAAAGGATGCATATCCACCACCTGTACACATTTCTGCATATACCATCCTTCCGGTTGCAACATTCATATCCTTGCGCACACTTGGTTTCATCACAACACATTATTTTTACACTCAGGAGAGTATGCACTAACAGTTGTCTCTAGGTGGTGATGATTGAATATAAAAACATTATTACTGAAACATTTCAGACAGCACACACATGACAGAATCAAATAAAAATTAGTATTTTTCTAAACACCATAAACTTTTCAGTAACTTCAGGAGTTTATTTTTCTGAAAGAGCAACACTCGCTTTTTGGCACGGGAAATATTCCGATCACTAACACTTTCGACACAAAATATATAAATGTCAGTCGCATTATCGCTTTAGATGTGCCAGCGACAGCTGAGCTGGCGTCAGCTGAGATAGTGAGAGCTGAGCTCGCATCAGCTGAGCTTGCGTCAGCTGAAATGGTGACAGCCGAGCAGGCATCAGCTGACATGTCAACATTTGGGGTGGCCAAGGAAGGGGCTGGCCACATCTGGGTGGCCAAGGAGGGGATGGTCACAGATGAGTAATCTACACTTTTTCGATCCTCTTGCTCGGCGACGTCGGGTGCCCACATCTGGGATGGCCAAGGAAGGACTGGCCACATCGGGGGTGGCCAAGGAAGGACTGGGCCACATCTGGGGTGGCCAAGGAAGGCCCTGGTAACATTGGGGGTGGCCAAGGATGGGCCAGCCAGGGCTGGAGTGGCCAAGGAGGGGCCCCAGCCATGTCTGGAGTGGCCAAAGGAGGGGGCCAGCCATGTCTGGAGTGGCCAGGATGGGCCAGCCATGTCTGGAGTGGCCAAGGATGGGCCAGCCATGCCCTTGGAGTGGCCAAGGATTGGGCCAGCCATGTCTGGAGTGGCCAAGGAGGGGGCCAGCCTTTGTCTGGAGTGGCCAAGGATGGGCCAGCCATGTCTGGAGTGGCCAAGGATGGGCCAGCCATGTCTGGAGTGGCCAAGGATGGCCAGCCATGTCTGGAGTGGCCAAGGATTGGGCCAGCCATGTCTGGAGTGGCCAAGGATGGGCCAGCCATGTCTGGAGTGGCCAAGGATGGGCCACCCAGGGTCTGGAGTGGCCAAGGATGGGCCAGCCATGTCTAGAGTGGCCAAGGATGGGCCAGCCATGTCTGGAGTGGCCAAGGATGGGCCAGCCATGTCTGGAGTGGCCAAGGATGGGCCAGCCACATCTGTTAGGGCCCAAAAGGGGGGGCGGCCACACTGGTTCTCTTAAAGTTTTCTTTCTTCCTCACCATACGATTCTATGTCTGAAATATCCATTAGTTCACTAGCAGTGAACAATTTTTGGTCTTGAGAGGAGTGTGGTGATGGTGGTGGCATGGCGTCACGTGCTCCAGCCGCCGCCTCTCTTGCTGCTGCTTCCCTCTTCGCTTCTCTAGCTCTACGCATTGCTTCTAAGCGCTTTCTTCTCTTCACGGTTATCTTGCAAAAAAAATGATCTTTTCTTGTATGCCATTGTGTGTAAAAATGCAAAGAATTGAGGGTCAGTTTACGCGTCCCAAGGGTCAGCCGCGGTCAATCAGAGTCAGCACACCTTCCTTCAGACCTATGGTCGGCACTGACTTGCTGGGAAGAGAGTACCTCTTCCTACAGCCACCCTAACAGTTACCAATTAGCATTTCGAAATTCTAGCACAAAATCGAAAAGAAAAAATTGCGAAAAAAATACTAATGAAATCAAGTACTGTATACTATTTTTATGGTGTGTGTCAGGTGTCAAACTAATGACGCAATTACCTCATTTATTGTAATTAAGATAATTACTTATAGAATTATCGTACAGACACGAGACATACACCAAAATGTTGCCAGAATTTTGAACTATATTTCGGTAAGAATTACTTTTTTTTTTTTTTTTTTTTGGTATACTTGAGCCGCCACGTTCTATTTACCCGTTAAGGACTGGGCTTGGGCCAAAATATTATACCCAGAAGTTGTCATATGCCTTCTCAAGGTCAAAAAATATGGCAACAACTGAGTGGTTATTGGCAAAGGCATTACGAACATACGTATCTAAGCGAGGAAGGGTCAATGGTTGAACGGAAAAACCATGTTTTACTTGGGGGAGAGACGTGTGTGGTCTAAATACAAACATTAAACATCGATTTACCAACGTTCATCCCTTTGCAAACTGCACTGGTAAAAAGCAATGGGACGGTAGTGGGAGGCATCATGTCCCCCTAGTACCCGGTTTGCAGAAACGAGAAAAATGGCAGATTTCTACAGCTGGGGAAGAACTCCTGTGACCAAATAAGAATTGAAGAGTTATAAAAAGGACTGCAAGGGCTGACTGGTGCAAATGTTGTAACATCTAATATGAATGTCGTCAGGCCCAGCTACCGATGATCAGCAAGCTGAAAGTGTCGCCTCCATTCCTGAAGTGTAAAAACACATTATAAGATTCTTCATTGAGAGAAGAAAAGCCTAAGGGGTGCTAACTCTCTGGCAGACTTTGTGAAAGAAAACAAGGGGCATAGATGGAGCCCCTGAGAAATATTGATCAGATGATTACCAATTTCAATGGCAACATCAAGAGGGTTTGCTATATCAACACCAGCAACCCGCAAAACAGGAGCTGGGGCCCGGAGAGTATTTTTCCACTCAGTTTCTCTACTTTTTCCGGACTGCACTCAGAAAAAAGCAGAGGGATGGTGGAAACAATCTCACCCGCAAGTGCGTTTAGAGTCACGATAACTGGAGAGCGACCGCACGCTTTTGCCTAACATCAAGAAGTCTCTCTGTGGTTTTATTGTACTGGTACCTGCCGCACGCAGCGCGTTCAAATGTACTCCCCGAGCACAAGCAGGAGGGCCACCAAGGCACGTACTTCTGAGAAAGCCTGCCCAAGGTTTGGGGTATAGAATGAGAAGCTGAGGGTTTAAAAATGAGGTCGAGAAGAGGTATAAAAGCTCATCAATGGAGGACGAGGAAGGAACCTCACTAAAAGCAGCAGTTGCGAGTAAAGGTCCCAGTTTGCTTGATCAAATTGCCACATGGGCTACGAAGAGGTGGTGAATATGAAGGATAAGTAACAATGATTGGAAAAGAATTTGCTATCATGTAAGTCCGGAGAACAGACCAGGTGAAGTCAAATGCAGTGAAGGAAGAGCAGACTGAAAGAAAGGATGCAAGAGAGAGCGTACGAGTTCGAGGATCAAAATGGGTGGGAGTACCTGCATTCAAAACATGGAGAGGGTGAGAAGCAAGAAAAGCCTCCAACTGAATGCCACAGGAATCACCCTTTCCTTGGTGGGAATTGGCAGATGTGTTAAATGTTAATAAAAAAAAATTAATAATATTTAAAAATTGGCAAATGTAATGAAATTTGTGAAATTGGCCAAATTACAATTACTAATCACTTACTGGGGAGTTGAAAATATTTCAGTGGGTAATTTCTTGTGCTCAGCTGATAAAATATTCAGGAATCTAAAGAACTGTTTACAAGGTACATGTGGGAAACTAGTGAAACATTTAGTACAACTTACCCATCAGCTTCTGTCATAACTTTCATTCTGAGAGCAAGGGTTGTGCTCTCTGGAGGCTGCCAGTAGAATATGCCCCTAGACTTCCCTCCTATAAAGGACTGAAAAAATTAAATACAATGAATAACTACTGTACTGTATCCTACAGCTGAAAGAACACAAAATAAAAAAAATAATGAATTAATTCACATGCAGTGAATGACTGGGGTAAAGAACAAAATACTGCACAGAAATAAGGAATACACTTGAACACTACAAAATAATACTTACTAAAGGCAGAGAGTAGTATAAAAAAAAAGATGAAAAAAATATAAAAGTGAAACACGAAAGATGAGCAATAACACTGAAAAATATTGCAAAAATAATGAGTCAAAGAAACAGTGTCTTCACTGAAAATACAAGGCTTAGAGTACACAAGAAATTCACTGTAAATGTCTCGCACACGCAAATGCTTTTAAATGCAGGAAAATGTCTCTAAACAGAAAATTATCGCTGAAGTGTGGAGTGGTCGACGGGTGATGAGGTGAAGACGTGGTCCTATGCGGGTGATGATTCCTCCTACACTCACACTTGTCGTGAAGAAATGTGCTTTCTAGGTGAACTCACATAACTGGCTTTATCATTGGCGCACAGCTACAATCTCTTGACCAATTATGTGAGCCAAAACAGTACTAGGACCCAGTACAAGGGTGAAAAACCCACAGGTAGACGAGGTGGGGAGTGGGTGGCGGGTGGGTGTGGCAACCCGGCCCACTGGCGCCCACTGCCACTCACAAACACCCAGGTGGCTTAACTAAGCCACAATATACCAAAATGATATAGGGGACAATACTTCAGAGGAACTTGCTTGGCTTACTTCTCTCTCTCAGCTGGGTTGACTGACTGGCTTAACCCACGAGAATGGCTGACTGGAAGACGTGTAACGATGCTCACAGCATGAAGGAGCAGGTGGATGACAGGAGACAGGCTGAATGATAGGCTGAGGCAGGCTGACTGGCATTCACTTCCACAGTCTGGCTTACTGGCTGGCTTAATTGCAAAATCCGGGTCAACCCCTTGGAGATTGAAGGAATTAGCACACAAACTAAGCCAGGAAGCTTGAAAAGAGGCTGCAACAGGCTTGCAGTCTGGAGTACACAGGGTGGAGGTGAGTGAGGGTAAGCTGCTAGCTGGAGGTGGCAGACACAGTTCACCTCTGACCTGATGGCACCCCACAAACAATCTTCTAACGTCGGAAATACCCGTAGATCCACTCCCACACCGCTGTCACCAAATTGTCTTGTGGGTTCGATAACGTGGATGGGGTAAAAACACTCAGGTAGGCTGGTTAGTACGTATAATTATAACGGAAAGTATGGGAAGCACCATCAGCCGCCCTGCCTCTCTCTGCTCTCTATCTCAGACTGACCCACCAGTGTATAGAGGGTGCGATGTTCAAAAACATGCTATGGTCAGCAGCAACGTGAATAACAGTGATTCACACAGACGGTTGGTAGCGAGTCATCTACTGGTAACTGGTTACTGGTAACTGGTACTACTGCACTAATGGGTAATGCAGTGGACCCCCGCTAATGATTTAATCCCCTTCCTGAAGCTCATTGTTATGGCGAAAATTTTCGTTAGGCAAAAGAA